TTTAAGACAAGAAAACTAGCAAATATTAGGATTAAAGAATTCACAAGTCATTCAATACAAAGTGTGTCAATATAAAATAATTAGGTCAGTGAAAATAAACAAAACTAGCAAAAAGTTGAGATATTAAACAACAGTCAATCTGCAGAAAAATTGGCCAAATATATGGAACAAAAATTGTTTAAACAATGCAATACCGCTTCAAAAATTAGAAATGCGAAAAATAATTTAGGAATGTCACACGGAATTAAACAATTGGGAATAAAATCTGACAACAAAAGGCAGGTATACTTAAATCATTTACTCCTAAAGTTCTTCAATTAGTCCGCCATTTCGGTAAACACAATTCACTCAATCATGTGTGAAATAAATCAGCCATACAAAAATTTGTTCCTTGCCATCATTCTTGCATGCAGTTCGTCACCCAAGCTTCATATTATGTATTGCCAATCCATTCAGTCATGTAAAAATGACTAAGACATTCGACGATCCGTTCCTATCTACCATTCACGCCTCCACTCCATCATTCCTTGATGCAGTTCGTCGTCCAATCCTCACTTTACCTATTCCCAATCCACTTAAACATGTGTGAAATGGATCAGTGATCCGAAGATCTGTCAATTTCAATAAATCATGAAGCGATTAATTCATTCGACACTGCCATTATTTCTTCATGCAGTTTGTCATTCAGTCCCATATTTCCAAAATTGCATGCGAGAAATGCACCAGATATCGCACCTTCGGTCCCGTTCCACCATTCACTCCTCTACGCCATCATTCCAAGATGCAGTTCGCCGTCCAAACTTCATTTTACGCAAAAACAGTTCATTTAATCATCGGAGAATTGGTGCAGCCCTCCGAAGACCTGTTAGTTACTAGCATTCATTCGTCCATGGCATTATTCCTCCATGCAGTTGGCAATCACATCTGTATTTTACGTAATCACATTCCATTCAATTATGTGAGAAATGGATCAGAGAGAGGACGATCTGTTAATTTTCACATTCATGCCTCTATGCCATCACTCCTTCACGCATTTCACCATCCATCTTTTCTCTCCCTAATCTTGATTAATTAAATCATTCGGGAAAGTGGTCAGTCATCCGACGATCCATTCCGTTCGAAAATTCACTCCGCCGTTCCATAATTTCTTCATGCGGTTCCTTACCTAATTCCCATTTTACTCAATCCAAAATTATTCAATCATGTGAGAAATAAATTAATCATCCCACCATCCACTCCTTTCTAGCATTCATTTCCCCATGCCATCATTATGTCAGGCAATCCCTCATCCAAGCTTCCTTTTAGGCAATCGGAATCTATTCACTCATGCGAGAAATGCATCAGGCATCAGAAGATTTAATTCCTTTTGGCCTTTCAGTTCACCATGCTATCAGTCCTTCATGCAGTATTTCATCCTATCTTAACTTCGTGTAAGCTAAATTCATTCAATCATGTAAGAAATGACAGTGTCATCTGACTATCTGTTCCATTTGGCCATTAACTATTCCATGCCAACATACGTCTGGGCAATTCGACACCCAATCTTCATTGTACGTAATCACAATACTTCAAGTTATGTGAGAATTGAATCAGGAATATGAATATTTGTCCCATTCCCCTATTAACACATTCAAGCAACTGTTCATTCAGGCAGTTCGACATCATATACGCATTGTTTGCAATTCAATTTCACTAAATCATGTAGAAAATAAAATCCTTCATCCAACGATCACTACAATTTTCCCATTCATTACTTCATGCATTTATTCATTCATTTTCTATTTACGTGGTTTCAACTCACTAATTCTTCTAAATAAAAGTAATAATTCATTCAATGATCTGTTCCTTTCTACCATTAACCCCGCCTGCCATCATTCCTTCACACAATTCCTCCATTAATCTTTATTTTATGTAATCTTAATTCATATAACCATACGTGAAATGAATCAGTAGCCCAATAAGCTGTTCAGTTGCCCATGCAATCCTTCCTTCATGCAATTAATTTTCCACAATTCATTTTACATAATCCGCATTCATACAATAATGCGAGAAGTAAATCTGACGTCCGAAGACCTTTTCCGTTCTACCATTCACTCCTCCATACCAACATTCCCTCTTGCATTTCGTCATCCATTTGACAACTTTCAAAATCCCAATTCATTTAATATTATAAAAAATAAAATGGTCATCCAATAATCTCATAATTTCGACAAATTACTCCACCTCTAACTCCTCAAGGTAATTACAGGCGCCCCCTTTAAGATGGAAATTTCTCTGCGCTACCGCCATTATATCACAGCGAGATTACTCCGAGAACGAAAAAAGACACAATACTTGGGTGGAATATGTATTGCCAACGAACAGTTGGGCTTGAGATGACTAAATTACAGGACAGTCAATCTGCAGAAAAATTGGCCAAATATATGGAACAAAAATTGTTTAAACAATGCAATACCGCTTCAAAAATTAGAAATGCGAAAAATAATTTAGGAATGTCACACGGAATTAAACAATTGGGAATAAAATCTGACAACAAAAGGCAGGTATACTTAAATCATTTACTCCTAAAGTTCTTCAATTAGTCCGCCATTTCGGTAAACACAATTCACTCAATCATGTGTGAAATAAATCAGCCATACAAAAATTTGTTCCTTGCCATCATTCTTGCATGCAGTTCGTCACCCAAGCTTCATATTATGTATTGCCAATCCATTCAGTCATGTAAAAATGACTAAGACATTCGACGATCCGTTCCTATCTACCATTCACGCCTCCACTCCATCATTCCTTGATGCAGTTCGTCGTCCAATCCTCACTTTACCTATTCCCAATCCACTTAAACATGTGTGAAATGGATCAGTGATCCGAAGATCTGTCAATTTCAATAAATCATGAAGCGATTAATTCATTCGACACTGCCATTATTTCTTCATGCAGTTTGTCATTCAGTCCCATATTTCCAAAATTGCATGCGAGAAATGCACCAGATATCGCACCTTCGGTCCCGTTCCACCATTCACTCCTCTACGCCATCATTCCAAGATGCAGTTCGCCGTCCAAACTTCATTTTACGCAAAAACAGTTCATTTAATCATCGGAGAATTGGTGCAGCCCTCCGAAGACCTGTTAGTTACTAGCATTCATTCGTCCATGGCATTATTCCTCCATGCAGTTGGCAATCACATCTGTATTTTACGTAATCACATTCCATTCAATTATGTGAGAAATGGATCAGAGAGAGGACGATCTGTTAATTTTCACATTCATGCCTCTATGCCATCACTCCTTCACGCATTTCACCATCCATCTTTTCTCTCCCTAATCTTGATTAATTAAATCATTCGGGAAAGTGGTCAGTCATCCGACGATCCATTCCGTTCGAAAATTCACTCCGCCGTTCCATAATTTCTTCATGCGGTTCCTTACCTAATTCCCATTTTACTCAATCCAAAATTATTCAATCATGTGAGAAATAAATTAATCATCCCACCATCCACTCCTTTCTAGCATTCATTTCCCCATGCCATCATTATGTCAGGCAATCCCTCATCCAAGCTTCCTTTTAGGCAATCGGAATCTATTCACTCATGCGAGAAATGCATCAGGCATCAGAAGATTTAATTCCTTTTGGCCTTTCAGTTCACCATGCTATCAGTCCTTCATGCAGTATTTCATCCTATCTTAACTTCGTGTAAGCTAAATTCATTCAATCATGTAAGAAATGACAGTGTCATCTGACTATCTGTTCCATTTGGCCATTAACTATTCCATGCCAACATACGTCTGGGCAATTCGACACCCAATCTTCATTGTACGTAATCACAATACTTCAAGTTATGTGAGAATTGAATCAGGAATATGAATATTTGTCCCATTCCCCTATTAACACATTCAAGCAACTGTTCATTCAGGCAGTTCGACATCATATACGCATTGTTTGCAATTCAATTTCACTAAATCATGTAGAAAATAAAATCCTTCATCCAACGATCACTACAATTTTCCCATTCATTACTTCATGCATTTATTCATTCATTTTCTATTTACGTGGTTTCAACTCACTAATTCTTCTAAATAAAAGTAATAATTCATTCAATGATCTGTTCCTTTCTACCATTAACCCCGCCTGCCATCATTCCTTCACACAATTCCTCCATTAATCTTTATTTTATGTAATCTTAATTCATATAACCATACGTGAAATGAATCAGTAGCCCAATAAGCTGTTCAGTTGCCCATGCAATCCTTCCTTCATGCAATTAATTTTCCACAATTCATTTTACATAATCCGCATTCATACAATAATGCGAGAAGTAAATCTGACGTCCGAAGACCTTTTCCGTTCTACCATTCACTCCTCCATACCAACATTCCCTCTTGCATTTCGTCATCCATTTGACAACTTTCAAAATCCCAATTCATTTAATATTATAAAAAATAAAATGGTCATCCAATAATCTCATAATTTCGACAAATTACTCCACCTCTAACTCCTCAAGGTAATTACAGGCGCCCCCTTTAAGATGGAAATTTCTCTGCGCTACCGCCATTATATCACAGCGAGATTACTCCGAGAACGAAAAAAGACACAATACTTGGGTGGAATATGTATTGCCAACGAACAGTTGGGCTTGAGATGACTAAATTACAGG